GCAGCGGGCCTGGCTGCACCTCCGCCGAGTCACGCAAAGGCTGGGGGCGATGCCAAAGGCGCGTCCCGTGGCCCAAGGTCCCCCCAGGATTCGGGGAGGTCCGGATCACTCCGCACCAGGCCCACAGAGTGCCCGAGAGGCTCCAGAGTGGCGCGAAGAGCTGGGGTCCCCTTGGGCCCGAGACGTCGGTTGGCATCCCCCGCACAAGGTAGAATGCTGTATAGTGTGGCCCTGCTGGGAGTAGTGGCCTCAGCAGCTGCTGGCGGCTGCACTATGTATATTGTCGCGCCAGACCTGTATTTTCAGTCTACGTGTCAAGCTCCATGTCAACACGCTACGTGTTGCGTGTTGCGTATCGGGGCAGCCAGGGCTGTATAGTGTGGTCCTGCTGGGAGGAGTGGCCTCAGCAGCTGCTGACGTCTGCATTATCTGCTCCTTCACATCTTCGCGTGGCGGGCTGCTCTCCTGGTGGTTCGCGCTCTCCCGCCCCCTTTCCACGCCGGTCGTTGAAAGTAGGTATTTCTGGACCCCCAGATACCAATCTATTTGAAGTGCCTCACTATTTCAAGAATCGATGTGCTTTTGCTGTGGATTGTTATTCTGGGAGGGCCTGAACTCGATATACTCTGCCTGCCTTGCTACTCCATGTTTTGACCTACTTCTTCCGACCGACGGGTATCCTTCCCAGTCTGCGCCACCACTTCATAGTTTCAGAGTCTCATAGGTAGTCAATTCTTGGGCAGCCTTCGCTCAGCCGCCCAGGCATGCATGACAATGTTCCGATGTTTCAATCAAATTCGGTGCTGGACAGACAGGGGCTAATGATGACGAAAAGCGGCGAGTAGCTTCAGAATGGCACTGTGGCCTCACACCGCTCTCCGCTTTCTGTTCGCCAGGCTCCCTGACCTTAGTGTTAGCCCACGAATCGCGCGTCTTCCCGCCGGCACTCTGGGCAGGACCGGCCTGCCGCTTTCGAGGTGGCCTTGCCAGTAGTTGCCGCGCGGCGATTCGTTGCCGGGCTCCCCGTCGTTCTCCGATCCCTTCGCCCACCCCTCCGATGGCCGAACTCGAACAGGGAGAAGGGACGTGTGAGGAGAGAGGTGGGAGGAGGAGGAGGAGGAGGAGGAGGATAAGAAGGAGTTTGGGGAGGAGGAGGAGTTGGGGAGGAGGAGGAGGACGATGTCTTCCCTCGTTGTCCTCGTTGTCGTCGATCTCCTCCCCACCCTCGCCCTCGCCCTCTCGCGCGTCCCTACTGAGCGCAGCGCATGCCGCATGCTGGCAGTAGCCGCAAACCGCCCTTCGCTTGCTCGTGGGCCAACGGATGGGCCGGTAGCGGGCAGTTAATGATTGTTTGCACGTGCAAGGTCTAACCTCTCTTTTCCTCCACCTCATCATCATCATCATCATCATCATCATCATCATCATCATCATCATCATCATCATCATCATCATCATCATCATCATCATCATCATCATCATATTCTTCTTCTTATTATTATTGTGCTTCTTCTTCTTCATCATCATCATCCCCAGTATGTGTCCTCTTCCTCGTCATCTTGCTCCCGCCTCCTCGTCCTCGTCCTCTTCCTGTTCTCTCTCTCTGTCTCTCCTCCTCCTCCCCATTCCTCTGTTATTTCCTTGTCATGTTTCGCTCCCATCTTCCTCATGTTCCTCCCCGTTCCCATCCTCATCATTGCCCTCATCTTACTGTTTCTCCCCGTCGTCCTCCTCTTCGTCATCGTCTTCCCGTTCATCCACCCCATCCTCTTATTCGTTCTCCTCCTCCGCTGATTACGTGACTCGTCCTCGTCATCCTCCCTGTCCCTCCTCGTCATCCTCCTCCCCGTTCCCCCTCCTCCCGTTCCTCCTTCCTCCTCCGTCACTTTCTCCAATTCTTCGGCATTTCGCCAGACACTCCCGCGGCGGTCGTTCCTCCTCCCCCCCTCTCGGGCGGGTGGCAGTGGGGGGATGACCCAAATGGGGGGGGGAAGAAAAGAGCCCTAAAGGAGCACTTCAGGCCCTCTGCTGGCTCCAAAAGGGGCCCTTCAGGACCCTTCTCTTCATCCCCCAGTTGGACCACCGGGCCGGGTGGCCTGGGTGGCCGCCTCATGAGCAGGCGGCAAGGAGCGCGCGGCAGACGAGGTGCTCACGGGAACCTCCCAGACCTCGCACCCGGGAGAGAAGACGTGGTGATTGTGCAGGCCTTGCGCAGTCCAGTCGAGCATCTGATGAAGAACCCTCCTCCCGACAAGCTGGGCCAGCGTGTCCTGGCCAACTTGCCGAAGCGTTGGTGCAGTTTCTTGAGCACGTTCGCCCTCCCAGCGCTAACAGCAGACATTGGCCCATGTTTGTTTGAGGCATTTCCGGAAGCTCGCCCGGAGTTCTGAAATGATCGTTTTCTCGATCCGATTTTCGGCAGCATCCACTTCGTTCATTGTCGTCGATCCCTCCGGTCCTGCGCTCTTTCGCGGCCCTGCTCGGCGTCGCAGGTCGGCTGCTCCTCCGCCGCTCGGGCCCTCGCCCTGGGTGTCGCTCCCGATCCGGGCACCTGTCGGGGCCCCCCCCCGTCGTTCGCTCTCGCGGCCTGCCTTGCGGTGGAGTCGTGGCTCGACGCCATCCCGCGTCCAGGTGGAGCCCTCCTCCCTCCCTCCCGCCCTTCCTCCCTTACCCCCTTCCCCGCTCTCCCTCCCTCCCCTCTCTCCCACCCTCCCCTCTCTCCCTTCCTCCCTTCGCCCCTCCCCTCCCTGCCTCCTTCCCTCCCTCCCTTCCTCCCCCCCCCCCCCCCGTCCCCTCTCTCCCTCCTCTTCGTCCCTCGCTCCCTCATTCTCCCTCCCCCCTTGACCTCCCCGCCGCCCTCTCCCCCTCCCCTCCATCCCTCCCTCCCGCCCTCTTCCTGATCATCGGCGGCGGCGACCGCGCCGCGCCCTCCTCAACCGGTGCCGCAGCCAGGAGCCGGGTCGCGCTTCGCTTGCGCATTGCCGCCGCAGCTAATTCGCCGCACGCTCCGGGTTTCATTCGGAGCCGCTGGGAGCAAGGTTGACGCCGAAATCGTGCTCTTTTTTTTTTTGTTATTTTTGTTCTCTCTCTCTCTTTCTCTCCTCTCTCTCTCGCTGGAGCAAGTTCTCTGGTGGCCTTCGGCTCATACTGCTACCGCGGCTGGGTCTTGAACCAGAGGCCTCTTGAAGCATCTCGAGGTGTCTTGGAAGGCCTCCTGGAGGCCTTTTGGGGACCTCTTGAGGGCCTCTTGTGGCCTCTTGGGGGGTTCCTGGGGACATCTGGGGGGCCTTTAGGGGCATCTGGGGCGCCCCTTGGGGGCCAAGAGGCGACATCGGAGGCCATCTTGGGGCGGAGGCCCCCAAACTGCGATTCGACTTTTCCCTCTTTTGGGTCCCTCTTGGGGGTATTGTGGGCATCTTCGACCGTCTGGAACGCTCGTCTGACCGAAAGACCACGCGAGCAAGCGAAAAACAGATCGAAACCAGGTTTGTCAGTGATCATTGTTTCCAGGGGCTGGCTTTCAAGACCTCCGACGACTTCCGGGGCCTCCGAGAGAGAGAGCCCCAGTAGGGCGACGAGATCTATACATATCCGCTGCTCTCTGGCCAGGCCCACCCTGAACCCAGCAGCTGTGTATACGCCCTTCTGGCCAAGCCAGGAGGCCGTCGCGTATACACCGCTGCCAGGTTGAGGATAAACGTAACCAGGGAGCAATGGATATGTATAGATCTCGTCACCCTACCCAGGACGGCCACACGGGACCATCTCAGGGCATGTTGGAAGCTTCGATTCCCGAACCACGTCCTCGAGTGCTCGGGAGAAGTCGCGCGGCGTGCCCCGGGAGTGCGCGAGGGCGCCGTGGGGATCCCCGACGGAGAGCCGGAGAGCACGTCGGGACTCTTCGTGCCTCGGGGCACGGTGGCGGATTTAGGATTCAGTCGGGCATGTCCCTCTACAGAAGGATACTCAAAAACAGTCCACAAGTAGTCAGGGCATGATCTTGTTATTATTTCTGGACTATGTTTGAATATGCTTGGTGTTTGACTACTTTCTCTTTCCGCCAGAATCCGCCTGTAGAGGGACATGCCCGACCTAAATTTAGGAGCTTGCTCCATCAGGCGGGCAGGATCGCCCCTTTTCAGCCTCTTCAACGCTAACCCCCTCCCAACCGACCTCCTCCACCAGATCCTCCCACCCTGCTATCGGCAAGGGCGGTCACCGCCGCACTGGCAGATGTTGGGGGTATGACGAATTCGTTACTCAGTTCGCGTATGTTTAATTCCTGGCCTCACTGCGCATGGTCATGAGAGTGCGAGGGAGACCAGACGAGTTAGATCCAGGTGTGAGAACTCGCCTCTCCGTTCCCCTCATCATTATCACTATCCCCGCGCAAGTGATGATCATCGCGGCATATTATGGCACGCGTTCATATCAAGGTCCTTGAGTTCGCGGGTGGGGGGTCTGGGGCAGGCTTGTACCCCCTGGAGGGTGGTATCGATGCACAAACATTGATGTGTATGTGTAAACGTCTCTCGACCTATGCGACCGTGCCTAGGCTGCGGGTCGAGAGCGCGAGGAGCATAAGCTTATGTTTGCCAGCCTGGTTGTTGCAGGTGGTTGGCGCCAGTCCAAATAGTGCTCGCCGCGACGAGAAGGGATACAGCCAGGCCGAGGTATAAGATCAAGGTCGGTTCGGGGAGGGTACATTGATGTGGTTTTGTTTGTTGGACATTTTTGTGCATCCTGGGGGCGATACCCTTGGATGTTCTGTGTTTTGGTTGGCGGAGGGTCTCATGTTCTTGAAGGATGTTGCTCTTCTGGCGTAGGTCCGACTGTACCTTTTTGTGCACATGTGGATGGAGCTTGGGATTGAAGCAAGTGTCTTAGTTTCTGTGTAGCGTTCCAACTGATGTCAATACTGTGAGGACCTTCCGGCCGGTGCCGCCAACCCAGAAGGACGACGACGACCACAACGACAGCCACGACGACAACGACAACGACAA